AGTTAGAAAAAAAAATTCGACATAAAAACGTATCATCCTCCCTGCCGCTCCTACTTTGGCAATTTTCAGAGAGACTGAATGAAAGGTCCTGTTGCTGCTTCTTGGCTCTGGGAGGGGCTTCCCAGCAGGTTGTTCTGAACAGTTAGATCCCAGGGCCCCAAAAAGGACTCCCAAGGTTCAGGAAACCCAAGGATGGTAGGACCCAAGAGCCACCCCCTGGGGCATGCCTCCTTCCTCCTCTCCCTGCTGTGATCCTCGCAGGATGCAGGAGGTTTGGGTGATGCCAAGACAGCCCCTGCAGGAACCTGGGTTTGGGAGGGGCCCTGTTTGTGTGCAGGCCTCCACCCCAGCTGCTCTGAAACTTTGCTATCCACCCACAGTCCCTGCCCCTGGCTATCCTGAGTTAGACACAAAGGCAGCCCTGAGCCTGGAAACTGGGCCCTACGTATTGCCACACTTCATGCATCAGCATTTACAGTATGCAGGCTCGTAACTGAAAAGAACAGAAACATCAAACTGTTTCATCCTCAGCAACTCCATATACAGCAAACCAGGAAGAAAACAGCAGTTTCTACATGACACAGGGATGGGGGCATCTTGCCCCAGGCTTTCCTGCCCGCCTTCGCTGCCCAGCAACCTCCTGTGCTTTGTTCTCTGTGTAAGACAAGACCCTTCTTAGTACTAAGAAGCCCGCTTTTCTAGCAAAGGAATAAAGCTAAACAACAATAAAAAACAGAACTTTAGAGGCCAGCTCTGTGACATATTGGGTAAAGATGTCAGCGGTGCCGGCATCCCATGTGTCTCAGCTCTTTCACTTCTCATCCAGCTCCCTGCTAATGATCTGGGAAAGTAGAAGATGGCTCAGGTCCTTGGAGCCTTGCACTCAGGTGGGAGACCAGGAGGAAACTCCTGGCTCCTGGCTTCAGCCTGGATCAGCCTGGCCCTTGCAGTCATTTGGATGGAGGACTTTGCCCCTCTCTCTGCCTCTCTGCTACCTTTTTTTTTAAAAAAAAATTATTTATTTGTATTGGAAAGATAGATATATACAAAGAAGAGAAACAAAAAGGAAGATCTTCCATCGGATGATTTACTCCCCAAGCAGCCACAATGGCTGGAGGTGAGCCAATCTGACGTCAGGTACCTGGAGCCTCTTTCGGTCTCCCATGCTGGTGCAGGGTCCCAAGGTTTTCCCAGGTCACAGGCAGAGAGCTGGATGGGAAGCAGGGCTGCCAGGATTAGAACTGGCACCCGTATGGGATCCCAGCACGTTCAAGGCGAGGACTTTAGCTGTTAGGCTATCACACCAGGCCCTTTGCTACTCTTTCAAATGAATAAATGTGTCTTTAAAAAGCAAAAGAAAAAAGCAGAACTTTCTTCCCAGACACTCAAGCCCCCGAGCCAAGGCCTATCTTTTTCCTGGGATTCTGTTTCCAAAACTTGCTCCAAAGAAGGGTTTGGGAAGCATGAGTCACAGGGGACACAGGCCCACCCTGGCCCAGTTCCCCATAAGCCACATTGATTGCCAAGAGTTTGAATGACATGAGGGACATTTAATGCTAGGTTGAAGTCTCTTGAAGACCAGTGATGGATCAGTGACAAAAACTGATGACACAGGGTGAAAAAAAAAAAAGGATTTCAAGGAATATGTTTGGGCAACACTAGCTTGTTTCTGCGACTGAATACCTTTTTGCATTTTTGTCTTAAAAATGAATATTTCCTGGAGATGCAGTGAGAGTGAGTATGGATTCTATGTATTTTCTAACATCTTTACTTGGCAAAATTGGAAGTTGGCTCTGCTAGTTCCTCTTCAAAATAAACGCTGTTTGGAGAACAAAAGCTGCAGCTGATAGTACAGAAAAGAACAAAACCAATTTCAGAATCCAGTTCAAGGCCACAGTCAGAGACTGGAAGGTGAGAAGGCACTGTTACCTATCAGCCCATCTGTCCTGGATACTAGGTCTGCTAGAACACCCCTGCCAGGAGCTTGGCTGGCCTGCTGGCTCCCTGTCTGACAGGAAGCTAGTCCCTCTGCGCAATTAAGACCGTTAGAAAGTGCTTTCTGAGGCTGGTGTTGTGGCATAGCAAATAAAGTGACTGCCTACAGCCCTGGCATCCCATACGGGTGTCAGTTTGAGTCCCAGCTGTTCCACTTCCCATCCAGCTCCCTGCCAATGCACCTGGGAAAGAAATGGAGGATGGCCCAAATGTTTGGACCCCTGTATCCAAGTGGGAAACCCAGAAGAAGCTCCTGGCTCCTGACTTTAGACTGGTGCAGCTCTGGCCATTACAGCCATTTACCAAGTGAATGAGCGTATAGAAGAATCTCTCCCTGTTTCTCTCTGTGTAACTCCACCTTTCAAATAGATAAATAAACCCAAAAAGAAAGAAAGAGGGAGAGATAAAAGAAAGGACAGGAAAAGAAAGGAAAGGAAAGGAAACAGAAGAGAAAAGAAAAAGAAAAAGAACTTTGTTGTGTTGTTGAGAAAGGCCCACTATCCTTGCGCTGGTCAGTGACTTGCCCAAGATCACATGGCTGGCAAGTGATTGAACGCCCAGTACTCCACCTGGCTGGGGGCTCTGTGCCCTGGTTCTCTGGATGCGGCAGTGGCTCAGGCACCTCAGCTCATGCCACAGTTCTGGCTGTTCTAGACCTGCTGGAAAACCAATGAAGAAACCCACAGAGGGTAAACGTGTCCATGTGATCCCAATCAACACTTAGGTATCCGCTCAGAGAAAGGTCGGGAGGAAACCGGCCAAGCAGCCATGGACCTGCAGGAGATTTTTATATCTGCTTTTCCATGTTTTCTAGCCTTTCTATGAGGCATTGGATTTTACCTACATGGTAGAATAAGACATGATCATTTAGAAACATGAAATAAGTAACTTGAAAAGTGGGTGTTATGACATGGTGGGCTAGCTACTGTTTGGGATGCCCAGCTGCTTTGCTGCTGATACAACTCCCTGTTAATGTGCCTGGGAAGAGGGTGGTAGAGCAGGTGACAGCTCAAATCCTTGGGCCTGTGCCACCCACATGAGAGACCAGGATGGAGCTCCACCTAGTGCAGCCCTGCCTGTCATGGGAATCCAGGGAGTAAATCAGTAGTTGGAAAATAACTTCTCTGTGTGTGTCATTCTTCCCTTTAAGTAAATAAAAATAAATAAACTTTTAAAGGTGTGAAGTAAAGTAAATGTCACATGATTCAAGACTCTGCTTCCTAGCCACTCTCCAATGATGGTCCATGGACAGTGCTCAGCTCAGCCTGGGGTCAGAGCCTGCCCATACCTCCAGAGTGTGGGCAGGTCCTGGCTATGGCATGCATGATTCCTGGACAGGTTATTTCCCTCAAAGGGTCTCAGGTTTCCCTGGGCAAAATTAGGATGGGAGCATTTGACTGTGTCTAGGCTACGCAAGCTCTGGGTCCTTCCCAGTCTTACCACTTGGTGCATGAGCCACACCCTGCCCTGGGCAGGGCAGCAGCCCCATCCAGCTTCGCCTCTCTGATTGCCCTTGGCAATCTGCCCTTGCCCAGATCTAAGATGTCCCAGACACTGTGTGTACACGTGTTTGAGTGTACATGTGTACACTCTTTATACCTATGTTTCAGTACTTGTCTTGTGCACCATGGGTGCGTGTGTGCATACCACATGTACATTGTTTGAGTGCATGTGTAACATGTGCTCAAGTATATGTGTTTGAGTACGTGTGTGAGTGCATATGTGTCTTCAAGTGCACATATGTTCATTGCATACGTGCATAGTTTGAGTGTACATGTGTGCAGTGTGGGTACCTGCGTTTGAGTGTACACATGTGTGGGGGGTGTTGAGATGTAGGGGTGTGTGTGTGTGTGTGTGCAAGGGCTTGTGACAGCAGGACCAATTCTGTGTTGCTTCTGATCCCAGGCAGAGTCACTCCATCTACCTGAGCATTTGACTTCTTTCCATTCTGCGAGCCCAGCCTCTCCTTGCTCCCGCCCCTTGCCCTTTCCCACTCTGTCTTCCCCATTCCTGCCTGTTTTGATCTCCAGCTTTGCACACGTTCTAGGTCTCTGTCTTGCCATAGGTTCAGACTGCCCTCTAGGTGAGCCACGGGCTGTCAGTTGAATGACCATATGTGGGCCCTCCTCCCAGGGCCCTGGGCTTCTCACCTTTCAGCCCCAGACAGAGAAGAGAAGGCCTCTCCTTGCTCACAACAGACTCTGATCTCTTTCCAGCTGGGCTCTGAGCGAGCAGCCGGGAAACCCGATGTGCCCATGATGTGTGACCCTGACATCTGCACACAACATGCACATTTTGGTTCAATCCCTACAGGTGGTTTGGAGGTCCTTTGTGTACCTCCAGGCTCCTAAGGACTGCTCTGGAGGAAAGACAGGGCCTTTTCATAAGAGAAAAAGCTTGAACAGTTGTCCTCCAAGGACTGGAAGGTGATGGCTGCTGATGAGTCTGAACTCATTTCATAGGTGGAGAAACTGAGGCTCAGGGGAGTGGGTTGCACAAGGACCCACTCCTCACACAGATAGGATGTGTGTGTGTGTGTATGTCTGTGTGTGTGAGAGGGTGATATGGGTTCAGCCTGGGTAACAGTGGGGACATTAGAAGCAGTGCAAGCACTTGACTCTGCCCCCCCTGGCATTTATCAGGAGCCTTCAGCGTGGGAGGGGGTGCAAAGAGCAGAGACACAAACACCCTTCTCTCCTGGGGCCCCCAGAGTAGGCAGCCAGCAGCCTGGGAGCTCAGTGGTTCGGCTCCCAGTCTCTCTCCTCCAGTTCTTCCAGAAGAGCCATGGACTATGATGGCAGAGGGGCCAGCAGAGGTCTGGGCATGGCTGAGAGGCATACTGGCTCGCCCAGGCCTGGGCTCCTGCACCCAGTCCTGGCCTTCACATTCATGGGGAGGCCGGGTGTGCAGAAGAAGTCCCAAAAGTCCCAAAGCCTACCTTGCCGCACTCCTGCCCCTGCTTTCAGCCCCTGACCCTGACCTTGCCCAGCCCTGCTCACACTCACCCTTAGGGCTGGCAGGGAGCTGAGCTGCTCTGAGGTCAGCGTGGCCTCCTTGTAGGACTTGCCTGTGGGGCACAGCTTCAGGAAGGTGTCATGGATGCTGCGGAGAGAGGTGTGGTGGCTATGGGGGCTGGGGAGGGGGCCAGCAAGCCCCTATCCCATGTGTGTGATACCACCATAGGGGAAGAGGTTCAAGACTGGTAGACACAGAAAAAGTAGAAATAGGGACTGGCACTGTGACATAGTAGGGAAAGCTCCTGCCTGTGACACCGACATCCCATATGGGTACCAATTTGAGTCCCATCCAGCTTGTTCCACTTCCCATCCAGCTCCCTGCCAATGCACCTGGGAAAGAAACAGAGGATGGCCCAAGCACTTGGGCCCCTGTGTGGGGAGTGGGGTGCTAAAGCCGCTCCTGGGTTTGTAAGGAGGCTTTAGGCTAATGCCCCACCCCCGCTGTGATTGCTGGCCTATCCTAGCGCCACGTGGACCACGGGCAGAAGTGATTGATTACTGGCCTATCCTAGCGCCACGTGGAACACGGGCGGAGATGATTGATGGAGAACGATACAAAAGCAGCCGGTGGAGAACGGGCAAGGAAGACCGGAAGACAGACAAGAGAAGACCAGAGGACAGATGAGAGAAGACCAGAGGACGGAGACAGAAGATACGAACTGTACGCCACAGCCTGCTCTACCAGTCTACGTGAATGTCACCCATCAACATCACCTGCCCCTTCGCAGCAGTTAGAAGCACCACGGAAAAGGACACGGTGTGTGAGAGCTTCTCTCTGGAAGCCCAGGGAGCTCTCCACACCCTGCACCCATATGGGGGACCTAGAAGAAGCGTCTGGCTCCTGGCTTTGGCCTGACTCAGCCACAGCCATTTGAAGAGTGAGATCTCTCTCTCCCTCTCTCTTGCACACTCGTTCTTGCCCTGTCTCTGTAATGTTCACTGCAAAATGAATGAATCTTGAAAGAGAAAAAATGGGAAGGAAAGAAGGGGGAAGGAATAAGCAGAGATAGCTCTTTCTATAGAATCATCCCCAGGGCCCAGCATGCCCATCTCATGGTGTGGCTGCAAAGCTGAGCCTGGCATGAGCAAAGGGCCTGGCACACTCTGAGCCCACACACGCCTGCAGCACGGGAGAGTGAGAGGTGCTTCCAGTCCTTCTCTGCCCAGTCCTTCAGTCGCAGATGGAGGAACCAGCAGGGGCCCCACCTCCGGCCATCTGCCCAGCACTGTCCCCAGCCTGGAGGAGAAAGGTCACTTGATGACCTCCCAGGAAAGCCAGGGTGACAAGCCAGCAGCCAGCAAGCCACACAGCCCCGCTGGCCTGCTAGGCTATGAGCCAGGTGCAGCAGATGGCAGGACACAGCGGCCTTCCTCTCCATGGGCCCTGCGCCAATCCAGGGGATGTAGCTCGTGAACCACAGCAGAGGGGAGGCGGCAGGTGCTTCCCCAGGAGGAAGAGGCCCCCATGGAGAGAGAGGACATGGATGGGCCCCAATCTTGACCTGCAGGATGTGGGACCAGCCACTGAAACAGCCCAGGGAGGACAAGGGGAGATGGCTTGGAACACGAGTCCCTGATGCCAGCTCCTGCTCTGGCCATGTTGTATGACTTCAGCATTAGTGTCATTGTGTGGGTAAAGGGCACTGACAGTGAGACCGAAGGGCTGAGTGTGTGAGGGTATGGGAGGAGGGTGAGCAAGAATATAAAAGTGTGAGTGTGAGTGTATGTGCTGCATGTGAGTGTGGTGTGTGTGGAAGCTGAGTGTGACTGAGTGTGTACTGGTTATTGATAATCAAGACCAAAGTGTGCTTTGCTCTCTGCCTCAGCCCCTCAGCAGTACCCAGCCCTTGGGCAAGGCTGAGAACCCCAACCCTCGGCTCCCCCACCCAGATGCCCATTTTCCAAAGATCACTCAAGGGGGTCCCTTGCACGTCAGCCCAGCGCCTGGCACCTGAGCGCATGCATGCTGTGCAGGGCCTCACAGGAGAGCTGTGACTACCGCATCTCTGTGTGTGCCCCTCTCCCGCATGCCAGGGCCCAGGCCCAGCCCCAAGAACAAAAGCCTGCCCCCTCACCCGGCCTGATCCCCTGCTTGCCCCAAAGGTCCCTTCTCACTCCAAAGCTGCCGCTCCCTCCTGAACTCCTTTGTCAGCCCCCCTCCCCTCCTCTGATCTCCCTGAGTGTGGAAAGGCCAACAATGGGATGGAGCTAATTCAGAGAGAGTGACCAGCAGCCCCAGGAGATAGCTGAAAAGGGCCCAGCAGAGATGGGCGGGGTCTCTCCTAGGGCCCTGATGATGGCAAAGGGAAGCCCAGCCCCAGCAGGCCTCTGCTGGCCATGAAGGGCCCCAAGCTGATCTCAGGTCCAGGAGGAAGCCTGGGGAAGCAGGGTGGAGGGGCAAAGGGGGACTTCCTCCAGGAAGGCAGTGGGGTAGACTGGACACTGCAGACACGGGAGAATAGAGGAAGCCACAGCGGCTGGAGGCATCCATGTGGCCTAGGCTCAGAAGTGGGCAGGGCCATGCAGGGGGTGGCATTCCGTCACTGCTGCTGGTGGACTTGTTGCTGTAATGTGAGTAGGTCATTTGCGGTGGAGTTGTTGCTGTCTTCTTTTCCTCCTCTTCCTCCTTCTTTTTCTTCATTCCCGAGGTAAGGCAGTGCTGTGGTATAGTGAGTAAAGCTGCCACATGGGTACCAGTTTAAGTCCTTGCTGCTCCGCTTCCAATCCTGCTCCCTGCTAGTGCACTGGAGACAGCAGCAGTAAATGGATCAAGTGTTTGGTTCCTGCACTCATGTGGGAGACCTGAAAGAAGCTCCTGGCTCCTGTTTCAGCCTAGTCTAGCCTTGACCATTGCAGTCATTTGGGGAGTGAGTCAGCAGATGGAAGATTTCTTTCTGTCTCTGTCTCTTTCTATCTCTGTGTAACTCTGAGAAAAAGAGCCTCAGGGCCTGCAGGGACACCTGCTCCCTGTGTCCCCCGTGGCGTGCCTACTGTGCACTGCCACTCTTGCAGACAGTTCCTGATGACCTTGTCAGAAAAGGAGTCATCTCTCTTATTGAAGAGGGAACCGAAGGCCATAAGAGGTGGCACACCTTGCCTCAGGTCACCCAGTGACAAGGACCAAAGCCCCACAGCTCTCACCCAGTGAAGAAGGCTGGGAAACTAGGCCAAGGGCAGGAACCCATGACTGCCACCAGCCTTGCTTGTGCTCCAGCAGGTCAAGTTGGAGTGCACTCAATCACACTCTCTCGTTGGATCTCCCTAGCAACCTTCAGTGTGGGAGGTGTGAGGTTCTGACCCCTATAGATGGGTAAACTGAAGCTAAGCGTTTATAAGACAAGCCCAAGGTCATAGGCTGAGGAGCCAGAGTGGAGGGGTGAACCCCAGCTTCTCCAGGCTATATTGCCTACTCCTCCAGAGTCCACGGCTCACCAGGTGTGAGACCACCAGCTTCGCCCTGCCGGTCCTCTGCCAGTCTTGGCACCTCTCAAGGCTGTCTCATGGGCAGGCTGCCCGCAGACAATTCATGGCTGCGTCTCGGCTGCCACAGACACGCTTGCCCTCTGAACGTGGCTCTAATGGAGCTCCGGATTAATCGCTAATGCACTCAGAGTCAAAGCCGCAGGGAAAACTCACACACTTAGCCTGCCAGAAACGAACAGCCCCAGCCGAGGTTGCCTTCCAGGCCCAGTCCTGGATAGGGGAGAGGCCCAGCTCCATGCTAACTTCCCAGGAGCCGTGCCCCTACCAAGCCCCCTCCCAGGCCTCAGTTTCCTCTTTGCAGAACAGGAGCCTCCAGGATGCCCCGACCCCTCACTGGCCTCCCACACACCACCCCCATGCCTCTGAGATCCCTGTATGATTGTCAGCAGGGTCCCACGTTAGAATCACATAGGGAGTTTGTAATAGGATCTGCGCTCCCTCCTCCACCCGCCAGCACTTCTCATTCAAGGCCATGGCAAGGTCTAATATACACGGGTCCTACCAGCTCCCCAGCATTTCTGTTGCACCAATGATGTCAAGACCACAGCTGAGAACAAGCCCACTGTCGGCTCTCAGTCTGGGGCCCAGACCTCTGGGCTTTGTCTGCATTTCTTTGGATATACAGCTGGCAGATATTTCATAAATGGCTCATTTTAGCCTGAAAATCGACTTTTGGTCCCCCGTCCTGCTGTTTCCAAGCTGTAGGACCTTGGACAAGTTGCTCCATTTCTCTCTCCTCCTCTTTTGAGATTGGCTTTTGTGGCTCCCAGCTCATCCTGTTGTATAAGGATGGACGCCAAGGCTCAATGAGGCTAAGAAACTCCCTCTGGTTAGAACTGAACCTCAGACTGTGCCCTCTCCCACCTACTGACCACAAGGTGAATTTCCAGGGGTAGGGAAGTTGGGGCTCATGGCCAGGATAGGGCTGGGGGAGCGGTTAGCCTCCAGGGGTACTAAAGAGAAAAAGCAACCTTGAGGCTCCATCATCCCAGGCAAACGCTGGGAGCAAGCTTCAGTCTCCCAACCCAAACCCACACCCAACCCAAGCAACGCAGAATAGTTCAAAGAGCTCAGGCTGGGCATAGCCTACCCAGTGCCAAGCCACAGAGGTCTGGACCAGACCAGGCTCTGCTCTGTTTGGGCAGCCAGGGGTACCCCTCTGGATCTGCAGTGTAGCCAGAACCAGAAGGGGCTGATCCCCCAGAGAGGCATTGGCAGGGAAAAAGAGGCTAAGGGGATAGTTGATTCAGCCAGAAGTCAAACAGAGAGACCTTGCTCTTACAGAGATCAAAGGATGCGAAGATCAAAGGCTGGGGAGCCAGGCCAAGGAGGTCCTGGACGGGCCATGGGTCTGGCAACCAGGCCTTTCTGTCCTCACGCAAGACACAGGTAAGAAGGTAGGAAAGGAACACTCCCCTCCAAGTTTCCTCTGCTATCCGGCTCCTCCATGCTTCTTTCAACTGGGTCAAGTCCATCCTACTGTCTGGTCCTCCCCAACATGTTTCTGGGTTACAGTCACAGAAATTGCAACACTTTCTCCAAGACAGAACAGGAAAAATACTTAACAGTGACCAGGGCTTGCTCTGGTCTTGGCAGCCCATGATGGTCACTTTCTCCCTTGAGAAGCTAGGGCTGTCTGCTCCCTGAGCCAGCACCATGCATGTGAGCGTCTCTAACAAAGCTTTCCCTTCATGCAACAGGCAGCACTTGCAGCCAGACCCTCCAACTATCTCTCAGTTGAGATGGATATCCTTCCAGAATGTTCTCCATGTGTTTAAGTAGGCATATCCCTTTACTTTACAAAAGCAGTAGCATCCTATGCATACCCATACAGTTATCCAAAGTAATATAGTTAAGTAGGTTGAAATGCAGAGTCCCCTAAGTCTTATGATTTAGATGACTTGTATCTAGGATCCCTCTCCATCCCTTCACAGAGGCAGAATTTTACAAACATTTTGATGTTTCTCTTGTTACTGTCACACTTACACAGAGTTTCTTCTTTTTTTTTTAAAGATATACTTTTTTTTAATTGGAAAGTCAGAGACACAGAGAGGAGGAGAGACAGAGAGGAAGATTTTCCATCCATTGATTCACTCCCGAATGGCCACACAGTTGGAGGTGAGCCAATCTGAAGCCAGGAGCCTGGAGCCTCTTTTGGGTCTCCCATGTAGGTTGCAGGGTCCCAAGGCTTTGGGCCATTCTTGACTGCTTTCCCAGGCCACAAGCAAGGAGCTGGATGGGAAGTGGGTGCCCATATGGGATCCCAACACGTGTAAGGTGAGGAATTTAGGCTAGGCTACCATACCAGGCCCTACACAGCATTTCTAATACTGCCCTGATGCTACCACATGTTGCCATGTCTTCATTATAAGCATTATCTTATGACTTCCTGTGATAGCAAAGTTTATTTCTCTATATATACTTCATCTCCTTTCCATCATTTTCCAAGATAAAGCGATTAGCCTGGGTCAGTTAGTCAGCTTGTATTATTAGGAAGTGATAGTCTCACACTGCTCACAGCCAAGTTTCCTAGTGCAACGTAATAGTTTTCTTTCTTTATTTTTTTTTTGCAAGACCTTTTGTTTTTTTTTCTAAAGTTAGTAATCACTTTGTGTTTCTTATGTTTAAGTTTATCATTATGTCATCTCCAAACTTTCTGCATAACTGCAAAGTTTCTCTTGCTGTGGTTAAAGAAAGATATCACGGGATCTATGAATTCCTTTTATTTTCTTGGAGGCACCACTGCTAGGACCCTTGGTTCCTTAATTCCGCTATGGATTAGCTTTCCAGGCATGTTATACTGCTACCATAATTTGCCTTGCTTTTCCTGTTGCCTTGTAATTCACTTTGTTTCTTCAATGTTCCAAGTCTTTCCTGGACCCTAATATCCTTTTTACCTGGGTTACTTTCTAGTTTTAATTAAACTTATTTCCAAAACTTCTCTAAGAGCAGGGGGTTTGGGGAGATTTTGAAAGTTTGTATGTGAAGAAACAGCGTTGTTCCACTTTCACTCTTGGTCATTTCATTTTATTTGAGGAGCAGAGTAAGAGAGAGGGAGACAGCACCTTCATCTGCTATTTCTCCAAATGCTTGCAATAGCCAGAGCTAAACCACGTCAAAACTGGGATTAGGGAACTCAAGCCAGGTCCCCAATGTTGGTGGCTGAGACCCAGGTGACCTGAGCCACCTCCACTGCCTCCCAGGATACACATTAGCAGACAGCTGGAATCAGTAATGGAGCTGAAACTCAAATCCAAGCACTCCCATATGGAAAGTGGGCATCTCATGTTGTGTCTCCTTCACAGCACAAACACCTACCAGTTCAGCTAGAAGTTAAGTCTAGATTGATCAATATCCTTAAAATTTCAAAGCTATTTAGCCACTGTCTTCTGATGCAAGTCCAAAGCTAAGTCTGATCCCTAATCTCCTGTATGGAACCTATTTATTTTTCTCCGTGGAAGCTTTGACAAGGGACTTATTATCCCCAGCTCTCTGCGATGTCATGATGACATCACTTAGTGTCTGCAACCTGACTTCTCTCCTCAAATACCGGGCATCCTTTGGCTCTCATTTCAGACTTACCGCAAGGCTCTACGTGCTGACCAGAGATACCTCTGCTCCTCGTGTACCTGGTGGCCCCAGCTCTCATGGACTCCAGTAACCTGCTGTGGTGGGCGGATGTGCTCCGTGGGTTACAGTGAGAGAAAAGGAAACACACACACTTCCTGTCCACCTTTCTGTTTGCACCTGACCCCATGTCCTGGTACTTAGAAGCTCCTCAGCCTTCCTGGGTTCTTGATTGCACCCTTCCAGCCCCGCCGCCAGCCTCCACAGTCTACTTTCAGCTCAGCGCATTGCTAAGCCTCTGGCTTGTGGTCCTGTGCACTTGGAGCCTGTGTTTTTGTGAACTTTCCTCCTCTGCTGACATGACATGCGTTCTCTTTGTCTCCAGGGGTTTCTTCCAGTGTTCTTTTAGGAGAGGAGGCAGGTTTTCACAAAAGATGCTTTCTTCTCTCCACGTCCCCTGGCTTTCTTCACTTAACTGTTGTCTCCATGACACAGGTACACACAGCTCCTGCCCCTTGTTGGATGCAGTGGTGTTTGTGTCACTCGCTGCCCTTCCATGTAGGTGGAACGACCAGGCCAGGGTGTCTTTCTCAAGCTGAACCAGGGTGCTGGGGAATCTCCCACCTTTGCTGGTCCTCTTGCATGCTTCAGAGTTGTCTACAACAGTTCCAGGTCCTTGAGGGGCTCTCCAGGCTGTGGTGGTCCCCTGGAGCTGGAGGCTCACCTGGGTTGGGAGTGGCAGAGGACTCTCTCTGCTGTTGCCCAGCCTGTCCTGGAGTAGTTCCTGTCCATCCCCAGTGCTGGGCTATTGTGTCATATATAATGGTGTCCAATAGAGACAGTTTGAAGCAGGGTGTGAGTTGAGGTCCCAGCCAGCACTCTCCCCATCTTGTGCAGTGGTCTCCTCGCCCCATGCCCCTGCTCTTGCAGGCTCTTAAGGGTGGGGGCTCTGGGGTTATCTCAGGCAGGCCATGGAGCCCCCTGCTGCTCAGGAACAGGATTCTCCAAAGAAGCAGAGCAGACAGAGCTTGGAAAGAAGCTGGATAGAGACATTTGGCAAGGACTGGAGCCCTCCCTGGCAGCTCACATCAACACCTGTTCCCCTAACCCTGTGTAGAACAGGTACCCACCTCTCAGGGCAGGGGCACCTTCCACAGGGACAGAAGGAAGCATTTGTAGGGCCTGGAAGGGCAGTTCAGAAGAAACAGTATCTGATGACAGCTTTCTTTCTGGATGGCTTTTTTTTCCCCACCCCCAGAAGCCAGAACAGAGTAAATGATTATCCGGTGGGACTGGGGGCAGCGTGTTCAGGAGACAACCTGAGCCTCTAACATGCTGCTCTCCATTCTTGGACCCTCAAAACCACTACTTGACCACACTTGGTCCTGATGCACAGAAACAAGACTTAGGACCCTGTGACACCACATGGAAGCCCCCAGAATGGAAGGAGAATGTGCCCAAACACAGTTATTCTGCCCCTGAAATCTTGAATGTGGTCAGAGGTGAGGAGCTCCAGACATCCTCTCACCTGTCAGAGGAGTGTGTGGTACCCAGCCCCACACAGCTTAAGTGTCCATCACAAGGAGGCGGGGTGCGGACCACAGTGACCCTAGGAGGGAGTGGTTCAGAATTCTTGCCTACAACCAGTCAACAGGAAACCCTACACAAAACAACACCTCCAGCAGTATGAGTGGAATCCACCCTGCGGGATGGGTAGGGCAGAACCGTAGAAGGCCCCATACACAGGACTATGGCTGGAAAGTTCTGGAAGGCAACATGAGAAACTAAGAGTGAACTCCAGGGAGGAGAACACAGACAGGTGCTTTCTACTCTTCGTTATTTTCAAGAAAACTTAACCAGAGTGGGTAGGGAATACGTATTTTCCTAGGTTTAGAAGAGCAGGTGGCTATTATTTTGCAAAGGACACAGGACAGCTCCAGGCCATCCCTGGCCTCTGTAGCTCTGAGGTTCCTGCCCAGCTCTCATCACACTGTTGGCTCCCAGGCTGAACATAGTGACTACAGAGGGCTTGTCCAGGCAAAGATGATTATGGGGAAGGACAGGAACCCAGGCCAGGGTCTGAATGACCTCATCACTCTAACCTTACACCACCCCCTGCCTTCCCCCCAGAAGGTAGCGTGGTGAGCTAATGTGTTTCTCAAGGAGGTTTTGTTCAGAATGGCTGGGGTCAAACTTGACCACACCTGTCCTCCCACCCTCTCTACATCCCATGACGGGGCAAGAGCAGACTTTGCACATTGCACAGTGGCTGTCTTTGACTGGAAGCTGTGCCCTCTGGACAGGACTTGTGTGAGGACAGAACCTGAGACGGCTCTCCCTCATACCCTAGTGCCTGCAGATGCAAGCACAGGTGCAGGGAAACGGGGGAGTGAGAAAGGGGCAGAGAGGGGCATATCACATCCACTCAGCCAGCAAACAACTGATGTAGTCTTCTGACCTTTGCCTCCCAGAGGCCGTCCTCATCGTCCCCAGAAGGTGTAACCAGCACTGTGACCATCCAAAGAGGGTCAAGATGGCAGTCAAGACACAGCAGCACAGAACCTGATGTCTCATTGAGCCCCAGTGGGGTCGTAGGGGCTAGGGACCAGCCCTGCCCTCCCTGTCCCAGCCTCATCTGCATGGACACCCCTCCCCCATTGGGGACCAGAATGAGGAGACAGCAGAGGAGGGTAAGGGGCTCCAGGACCCTCGACTCACCATAGAATTTCGTTCCTGGTCAGGAAGGTCAGGGCCTGTAGCAAATCACAGGAAAGTAAGTGCTCCCCTCAGCCCATCCCTGTCTTGGCTGTCTGTGGAATGGGGAAGGGGCTTTGGGGAATGGAGAGCAGAAGCTAGGGAAACTGAGGCAGTCCAGTCTGAGGTAGCAGATGGTTGAGTGGTGGTCAAGGAAAACACAGTGACATCCCTTGGTCTTCTGATGGCCTTAGGCGGGATGGTGTTAGCCCAGACCTAGACAAGGATGAGATGGGCTCTGGGACAGCATACAGACCAGGGAGGACTGTCCTGGCCACATGGATATGGGTCTAATGAAAGCAAAACCTTCACCATCTTGCTCGATGAACCTCAGCACTTGGGGCAGGAGTCAGCTGTTCACCCCACCTATGTCCAGAATCACCAGTGTCCTCTACTTACCTGGTATTCTTCCAGATCCTCCCAGTGCATCTGGTACCTCAGACACTGCCCCATGCCCCCCTCACCCTCCTCTCTACCAGCAGGAGAACTTCAGCCCAAGGATGTACCTGCTGATCTGGTTGTCATGGTAACCTACATTCCATCTTCTGCCCATTCTACCCAAGCCCCCGAGTTGGCAAAGAAATAGGCTGTTGTGACTGTCCAGGGTCAGAGACATTATTCCTAGAACAATACCCAGAAAGGCAGCCCCATGGGAGGGCTGAGAGCCCTGTGGGAGATTCGGTTGACACATTGGCTCGGGCCAAAGCGGAGACCAAGTGGCCTGGGGCAAGCTATTCAACCTCTGGGCATCCCATTTGGACACCAGTTCAAGTCCTGACTGCTTCTGAACCAGCCTCCTGGTAATGTAGTTGGACAGCAAATGAAGATGGTTCAAATCTTTGGGTTCTTGTGCCCAGTTGGGAGACCTGGATGAAGTTCCTGGCTCCTGACTTCTGTTTGGCCCAACCCAAGCCGCTGTAGTCATCTGGGGAGTGAACCAGCGGACAGAAGATCCTCTGTCTTTTAATAAATAAAAATTAGTCTTTAAAAACCAAGTGGACACTTCAGAAAGTTCATAGAAAGTAAGACTGGGGCCAGCACTGTGGTGTAGAAGATGGTCCCATGCTCAGGCACCTGTGTTCATGTGGGAGACCCAGAAGTAGCTCTTGGCTTCAGCCTGGCCAAGACCCGGTCATTGAGACCATTGAACTGGACATTGAGGCCAGTGAACCAAAAGATGAAAATTTTCTCTCTGTCTTTCCCTCCCTGACTTTCCAATAAGTAAAATAAACCTTGATTTAAAAAAAAAATATGAGATTAAAAGATGCAATGAAACTGTGTGCTATATCTTGACAATGGATGCTGGACTCTCTGCCATTGTCCATGCCCGCAATGATGGACATATGACTGTGTATCAAGAACTATATTTTAGTAATGATATAGAGGAACTAGGTGGGGGGGGGAGGGAATTGGGGAGGGGATAAGAGAAATGCCAGGAGCATATGGAATTGTATCATAAAATAATAATAATAATAATGAAATGTCAAAAAAGATGGTTTTTGTGTGGAAAAAAAAGGAATTTTATATACAGCTTTTTTCACTTTCCATGAATTTTTGGAAACCCCTTGGTATAGTAGCTGGTACATAGAAAGTGCCCAAAGCACAGGAAGACATCCTATAGCCTCAGTGGGGACAGTGAGTAGAGTGGAGCAGGCAGAGTGCATGTGGGGAGACAGAGAAGATGTTCAACCCTGAGCAGGTGTCGCAGGCCCAGAGGGGCTATCCCCCCCACCCGGGAGGAGCAGGTGCTTGCTCCTGAGTGAAAGGCATGTCCTCCCACACTCTCTACCATGGAAACAGTCCAGGGCCTCCTGGGGAGATAATGGGAAGTCTCCAAGACTGCAGCTGCCTGCTGCTGGTTCTTCGCCCACCACCCCCGCGGCTTCACTGGCCTGACAGGCCGGGGATGCAGCATAGTCCTGAGCAGAGAGGTAGGTATTTCAGTGTAGTCTCAGCCTCCTCCTTCTCTCCAACAAGCACGTGAGGCACACACTCACTGCACCTGGGAAGTGACAACACAGAACAGAAAATCTGAAGGGCATGAGCTGCCGGGCAGTTACATCCTCTTGCAGGTGGGACACCAAGTGGTTGTTGGAACATGATGATTAGGAGCGCGCAGGTTTGAGGACCTGTAGCGTAGTGGATAAAGCCCCCTGTGATGCTGGCATCCCTTTCAGGTGTCAGTTTGAGTCTTGGCTGCTCCACTTTCCATCCAGCTTCCTGCTAATGAGCCTGGGAAAGCAATGGAGAATGGCCCAAGTGCTTGGGCCCCTGCACCCCTGTCGGAGACCAGAAGGATGTTCCTGACTCCCCGCCTTGGGTCTGGGCTAGCCCCAGCTGCTGTGATCATCTGGCGATGAACCAACTGATGGAAGTTCTCTTTCTCTCACTGTCTCTGTCACTCTCCATCTTTGTCTATAATTCAAACAAAAGAAACCTTTTTTTTTTTAAATGCAGATTTGGAAGTGTGAAAGATCTGACTGAATCACCTTAAGCAACAAATGAAAACCTCTCAAAGTCTCCATCCCTTCCTCTGCACAATGGGATTAGTACATCTCTAGCAAGGATTTGATACAGTGACACATGTAAAGCTTCTTGTCTGGCAAGGTTCCATATTGCATTCTCAACAAAGGGAAATTGATACTGTTGTTTAAGCTGGGTCAGGAGAAAGAGAAACTCTGAAGCAGGCAGTCAGTCATTTGTTTTAAAGTTAGTTTATTTGCTTGAAAGACAGAGTTATATATAGAGAGATTTTCTGTCCAATGGTTCACTCCCCAAACAGCTGTAGCCAAGCCAGAATCTAGAAGATTCTTCCTGGTCTTCCACTTGAGTGAAGCGGCCCAAGCATTTGGGCCATCTTATGCTGCTTCCCCAGGCACTTCAGTGGGGAGCTGGATTGGAAGTGGAAGCAGTGGGGACACAAATTGATTGTTGAGCACAGATTTGATGCCTTTGCACCACAAGGCAGTAGTTTAACTCGTTATGCCACAATGCTGGCCCCCCACCCCTCAAAGGTTGTGTTATTTAGTTTAGAGGCAGAGACAGAAGCCAGCCAAAGTGCTTGGAAGCCCAGGAGAGGTAAGAGAGCTGCGGGCTCACCCTGCAGCCGCCTGTGCCCTCCTGATGACATGAGGTACAGGTGGCACTGTGCCACTGCCTGCTGTGCTGGAACATCTGCTGCCACTTGCTCACCGGGGAACAGAGAGCACAGCTAGAGGCTACTCTGCAGCCCCTGCAGCTGCTGGCTGAGCCCTCCCTGTTCCCTGAGCCAAGCAGAAGCAAGACAGGCGATTAGGACGGTCCATGCAGAGCCAGAGGAGCCCCCAGGAACCCACATCCCTCAGCCACAGTGGGAGCACCTCTCCCACTGGGGAGAGACTGGGGCTCCTGACTTGCTGCCTTTCCAAGGAGGTGCCCCAGGAACAGAGACCAGAGGTGCAGAGCAGGGAGCCAGGTATCCTGGAGGCCATAGATGCCAGCTTGCACTCAGGAGCATGGCTAAGTTTCTGTTCTGTTTGGTGTGGCGTCTTCCATTCTGAAAATGATGCAAGCTTGTCCTTCCTGCCTGGGATGCGAAGTTTCCTTTACCAACACACGTTGAATGAACAGTAAAAGGAATTCACTTAAAGAGAAGAAGTAAATGATTATATAGATCGTAAAGAAATGTGCTAGAAATCGTAAGTCTTCCTCTTTTTCTCTCTGTCTCTCTCACACACACACATATATACACACACACCCCAGCGTCAGCTTCAGCTTTCAATCCCCAGCTTAGTACCTGACCCCCAGGCTGGGCGACATCCTAGACAGAGTTTTAATTGGCTCCTACTGGCAGCAATAGGAGCAAGGAGAATATCACCTTTCATTTTCATAGCCCCTTTACAATTCCATCACTTGTTTTTTTAAATGTCCCATCTCATTTGCCTAAGAAAGACACCCCTCCCCAGGTCATTCTGGTGCACTAACCAACTGGAACCAACTGGAGTCCTTCTCATCTCCCCAGCTCCTGAGGTCCCCAGCTCAGCAGGGTTGGTGGAAGAGGTGTCGCTGAGCAGAGAGCGGGCTCCAGAGAGGGACCATCCTACATCCTTCCCCCCACAAAGGTTCTGCTCACGCACCAGCCCTCCATGTGGGGTGGAAAACAGTCCTTGCCACCTTGCAAGATGAACTCCACAGGCAATTTTAACCATCGCAATCACTGCCTGACCTAGATGTCTTTTAAAATTCAGGAGACATGGAAAAAGAACTTGTATTTAAAATATGCAAAGAACTCTTCCAGCTCCACCATAAAAAGGGCCAATAAAAAAAATGGGCAAGCTATTTGAACAGACAATTCTCCAAAGAAGATATGCGAATGTTCAGTGAACATGCTCAGTGTTACTGGCAATCAGGGAGATGTAAATCAAAAGCAAGAAATGCTCCATCTTGCTCACTGAGATGGCCATTAAAAAGGGATAGGACTTTCAGCTATGTAAACAATATTAAAAATAAAATTAAGATTAAAAATAAAATAAATTTTAAAAGAGAGAGAGGAACACAGCAAGCTAACCCCCAACCTATGACACAGGAATCTCATATGAGTGTTGGTTTGTGTCTTTAAAACAAAATTATGAAACATTTATTAAGATTCTTTTTTTCTTGGAAAGTCAAATTTACAGAGAAAAAGAAAGACAGAGAGAAAGATCTGTCTGCTGGTTCACTCCCCAAAGTGGCTGCAATGGCTGGAGCTGAGCTGATCCGAAGCCAGAAGTCAGGAGCTTCTTCCTTGTCTCCCTTGTCTCCCACGTGGGTGCAGGGTCCCAAGGCTTTGGGCCGTCCTCAACTGCTTTCCCAGGCCACAAGCAAGGAGCTGGATGGGAAGTGAAGCTGTCAGGACATGAACCAGTGCCCATATGGGTTCCCAGCATGTGCAAGGGGAGGACTTTAGCCACTAGGCCATTGAGCCAGGTCCATGAAACATTTCTTTAAAAAAATTTTTTTATAGCAGCTGAAACTCGGCCTCCCCTGTGAGGTCCTCAAGACCACAATGACAGAAATGACTGCCTTGAGAGGAACCAGGTTCAAGCTAAGCTAAAAAGTCACAGTAGCAGCTTTTAGGGGGATGCCCAGGACATCTTGTTTTTTACTTCCTGGGAGGCTGAAAGCAATCTACCTGCTCAATAGGAAGAGGCTTTGAGGAGCTCAGCCCAGGCTCTAGCACAAAGCTCTAGGGAAGTTTCCCCAGAGAGACTTTTTCCACCAAGGCATAGCTCCTGCCCCTCCCCGCCCTTCCCCTCACAAGGGCACCTCTGGGAGAGCTTTGCAAGGGAGAGCCAACTCCTTTCTGGTTCCTCATTTGGAATATCTCTAAAAGGCACCTGTTTTCCTTCACTTAGTAACATTTAAACAACAACAACAACAACACAAAAAGAGCACATCAATGTGGTTAACTGCCCAGGATACTCAGTTCTTCAAGG